TATTTCTCGTAACAGATCGCCCATTTCTCTCCCCTGTTATCATAGAAACTAATTTCTTGTAACAATGTAAGGATCTTGATCGTATCGTGCTGTCATTTTTGTTGGAAAAACACTTTGTTACAAACTTTGATATCTTTTCGTTAAGCCAAATTCTTGCGATCTTGAAAGGCTTTGCTTGAGATTTCGATTTTTCGTCATTTTGCCTAACCTGTTCATCGATAGAGTCGTTGTTTGATTGAAGTAATTGTGAAAGTCTAGTCGAAGGTTCTCTTTGAAAAGCATCTTAAAAGGCGTAAAAGATATATGGACATGCTGAGTAGCTCTATATTGTCGTAAGAAACGAAAACACTCTTGTTTCCATTTTCTTTTGATCACCGCGGAAAGAACACATTTCATTTACGGCTTGTTGAAAGCCTCAGCCTGAGAATTACTCCTAGGCCTTGGACTAATTTTTCTGTGTATAAAACCCATATGTCTCGCGTAATCTGCAAACTGTCTGCCTCCCATTGTCTGTTTTGATTACTTTCGGTATTCCAAACTGTGATATAATTTTATCGATAACTGGTATAATTGCATTTATTGCTGTTGATCTGACAACTTCCACCACCGGATATCGCGAATATTCATCAATAACCACAAGCAAATATTCTCCTGTATCCAATGGTCGCACAAATCGGCGCTAAGATTTTGCCAAGGTCCTTGTGGCAATTCAGACATTTTCAAAGGTTTGCGCTGGTGTGTTTCTACCGTTTTGCTTGACAAGCTATAGACTGTTTGCTAGCAGTTTCTATTGTGTCGTTTATGTTAGGGAACCAGCATTTCGATCTTACAAAAATTTTTGTACGATTAATACTATGATGTCCCTCATGACCATGACCAAGCTGTATTGCCCTAGCTCTTAGTGATTTTGGCATGACGATTCTATCATTCTTTAATAAAACAAATTTACAATGAATTGATAGTTCAACTTTCACATTCCTCAATGAAAGTACTTGTCTATGTCAATTTCAGGATCCTTCCAGTCTTTAATCGTTTGCATGTACCTGACCTTGTACATTCAATTTCCTTTTGGATATTTTTGTCATTTTAAGATGAATGCTTAACTTCGTCCTTGGTCAAAGCATTTGATATGGCTTTCTGAGAAATGAAAGGCACTATTCTTCTGCCAAATTTCGTTCGTCATTGTTACATGCCAATGGATGATTTGACATGTACTCTGATAGATTGTCTTACCCTAAGTACACTTGGTTCATGTATAAGCTTGACCGTAGACAAATACACGAGGGCCTCTGGACGGTACTAAAATTTATGCTGGAAAAACAACGAATACATTTAGATTGGAGAAAGATAATGGGGAACTAGGGATATGGCTGTCAGTTTAGAAAAAGTTTTGTCTTGGGCTTGAACGTACTTGTTTATAAAACTTTGAATCCTTTTTCCTGAATGGCATTTGGTGGAAGGAGGCACTGTCTGTATAACATGTTAATGAGTAGATATACTCGCAATATTTTCAATGCCAAATCCCCGAAAAAAAATAACGAAATGCGCGTCAAAATTATTTACAGAAATGTTTTTTCTATGGTCATCCAACAGATCAGGAACACCCACTTTACTTCTGAGTGGCTTTTACGTTAAAGCTGAATTGACTTAAGATTTCAAAAGATTGACTGTTAAAAGGGTGTTTGACCAACAGCTAATATTGGAAAATGCATAAGATAAAATTATAAATCTGCCTAAAATATAAAAAGACTGCCCCACTCTTTGTATAAACTGAGCGTTATGGGTAAATTCTTATAGATATTTACAGAGATTTTATTTAGATCTATGCATTATTTATTGTTTAAGGGAAGTAAAATATTAAATTGAACGGAATTATGACAAACTTAAAACTTATATTGATATTCACCTAATCACTTACTATATACCCTTGTATGGGCATAAGGTCAATGGGGTTTACAATAAGAAAAACAAAAATATGTCACTTGCATGTACGATAAAATGTAACAGAGTGCGGAATTAAATCTATAAAGGAAAGCAAAATACATATTTCAATTTTATGTTTAATCAAAAATTTTATTTATGTTTACCATGCAATAAAACAGTTCGAGCTCGAACTCGACTGTTATGTGGAAATATCATATGATATTTCTACATAACAGTCTCGACGCTATACTATAACTATAAGGTAGTGAAGGGTGGCAATTTGGCACAATTTTATATAATTTTGGGCACAATGGCACTATTTTTGGGCACTATGGCTTAATTTTGAAAACCTATGGTCTGTGTTGGGAAACTTATGGGCCCGGGAAACTTATGGCCCTTTTAAAGATGGATAGGGAACACTTAAACCCTGTAAGAGGTTAACACTACTATAATGAGGGTATTGTGTTCTAAAAACCTGTACTGACATGTTATCACTGTACCAACTCTCAATAAGCTAAAGCGTTTTAACGACACAGATCAGGATACAATTTACCACGGAGTTGTATATCGGGTATAAAACCACTATTTTTCAGGCAACCAAACCAGTGCTCGACCAGGTGGTTTTATCTCTATCAGAACTTTTATTTTTTAAAAACAGATATGACTTTTTATGTTCAACAATTCTATTTCAAAAATATTTTGAAACATTTATGTTTTGGTGTCTACAGATGTAAATATGAGAGTAAATATGATACGATAGAAATGCTAAACATTGACAAATAAAGTGTTTAAAAGAGTTTTGGAATTTACAGTTAATGGAGTGTTTGAGATTACTAATACTCAAATTTTTTTAAATAAAATCACTCTGCAAACGTAGTTAAGTGTGATACTTGGTGTAATATACAAATGGTCTACACTTTTAGTGGTGTGTTCCCGATTTGTTTCCGTACAGCTGCCATATTTGTTTACATGTTCATAGCCCCTGCCCTTTATGGAAAGCTGGGTTTTGATGTTTTTTTGGGCGCCTTTCCTATTGAAATCAATTGGTAGCATTAAAGTAAAGACAGTTTAACAAAATATTGTCCACATTTGCCCTAACTTATCACTATTTCAGTTTTTTAAATAGTTTTTACTGCTACTTTTATTATAGAATTGTATTTTTTCGCTGTTAAATAGGCCAATCTTCTACCAAACTTAGAGTACTTGTACATGGTGTAGAGGTTACAGGTCAGGTACAAATAGCACGCACACACAAACTCCTAGGGTTTTTCCACTTTAATACATAAATCGTACACAAATAGAAGTATTGGTCGACTGCACTGAGCTGGTCTAGCACAGGTACTGTGAATCTATATATTGATCAGTGTACTGTACTTCAAGACACGCGCAAATTTAAATTCAACGAATCGTGTGTATAAGATCTATTCTACTTTCAATATCATTTAACTTTTATAAACATAACTTTATTTTTTCATAAATATTTTATTAAACTTTACAATTAAACTTTATAGATCTAGATATTATATTAATCTTTACAAATAAACATAATGTATAATAATCATTGAACATAGTCTAGTTTTTAACATGAAAACATTGTCACATTTTTGAAAAAGTCTTTCTAGTAGTCATTCTGATATAGTGACATTTTATTTTTATATTATCTATACCGTAAACTAAACAAATAATTACACAAGTTGAATAAAGAGAACAACTCGACTTAATGCTTTATTTCATTTCACATAAACATAACATATTATTATAACTCCTCACAGTCATTTTTCACTCCTGTTCCACTCGTTTTCTTCACTTAACAATTCAAAATTTATATAGATAAAACTCAATAAAAAAAGCTTCTTTTAGGACCAACACAATTCATCCCGAAAGAAAATACCTGTCATATAGTGTCAACGTATTTACCCTTCTTAAGTGTTTGAAATTATTTTTTGTTTCTTTAAAAGAAAAGTGAAATGAGTTAAACAGGAGTGAAAACTGACAGTGAGGAGTACAGAGGAATGAGGAGGAGTGAAAATGGTATAAGGGACAAAATTCATAATGATAATGCTTGTTGATTATTCAATACATAAAAGTAAAATAAATGAGCTTACTATTAAAATAAAATATCAGTTGGAATAAAAATATAATATCTACATTTGAAGCAATAAAATGATAAATAACAAGAAGAGCATATCGCCGGGTTTATTACTTGAAAGGGCAAATAAATTAAATTTGAGCAAACTTGATAAAGTTTTGAGCCTTAAAGAATGCTACAGACCAAGTGATCATCCATCCATAAATTTGTGATACAATTTGACTATGACTGTCTTTCGGTATTGCGATATTCTTTCTTTTACTAATCTTAAAACCTAGATAATTACATAATCTCAGTATTTTGATATACATGTATACTGTTTGTCAGGATGACAATATGTATTTAAGATAACACAGGTATACTAGTCAACTCAACCAGAGAGTTAAAGTTTCAGCTTGAATTATCTTACTCTCTATAGAAATAGGAAAATTTGAAACTTTAACTACACAGAGGAAAAATGTAAATGGTTGTTTTGATGAAATGTATTCAGTAAACAAGATTACTCTTTTAATAAAACAACTTTAAACACAGGGTGGTAAAGTGATATTGTATGAAACAGTGCAAAATTACTTTGAACAAGTGATAACCAAGGTTACAAAATGTGATTCTGAATAGAAATAATTGAAACTGATGCTAAAGTATCACAAAGAATAAAGATATGACAAATTACATTAAGACAAGCAAAAACAAATTGCTAAAATTGACATGAGTTCATAAAAACTTAAGTTTTGTCCTATATGTAAAATGCTAAGTTACAAACGATTATAAAGTAGAGCCACAGTATGGTATTCTCAGTGTCCTAGCTTCGACCACAGATCTGGCTGCACAATATTTTGTTTTGCTTTCTTTATTTTGATTTCAATTATTTTTTGATAGTTATTTCATGTACTTGACTGCGAAAAAACAAATCAATGGAACAAATCAGAGCGTGAAAATAATTATTGGCTCTATGATGGATGTATTGTTTTATTTGAAAATACTATTTCAGATGGCTACTGCGAAACTAATATTTGAAAATGAAAGAACAAAACAGGAGGTAATGTATCTTTTCACGGTTTTCAAAATTAAATGTTGAATCATTAGCTACATTTACGCTTTTAAAGATTAGATATAACATTGAAAAATTAAATATAAAAATTGAAACAATACCGTAACGATATTTGCTTTTGTCAATGTTATTTATATCATGGAGGTGGAACCCCATATGTATCTCAAAATGAGCATCGGTAAAAATATATGTGAATTTCCGCTGCACCAGATGTGAAGCATAACACCAGATGTGACTATAAAAACAGGGCAACGCAGGGTAAGTTTTCATCTTTTCAAACATTTATATAAAATTAAAATTTTTTTTTCCACGTAACCGTCTGTCGCTAAAACTAATACTTGTGGAATATTAAAGTGATAGATAGTTTTATGAATGTAAACATTATTATAGAAACATATTTTATGACACGATAGCTTGACAAAGTTCAATACTTTCAGTTGGTTTGTCCAAGTTACATATCCTTTATTAGTGAATTGTTTATCATACAAGTACTATCCGCTCTGCGTCAACATTTTCATGTACTCGGGCCTTTTAGTATCTCTAATGCTAACATAAGCTAGTGAGCACTGTCCTTATAATATTACAAATGAACGTTCAGCCAAAGCTACGAAACCTAAATTGTTAATATACACCGGCTATTGAATGATTATATGGAAGTGGTCCCTAATTTTGTAGATGATTTTCTACATCATTTATGGATCTCTTCAGCACATATAGAGCTCAAATGCAATTTTGAGCAGCGATCTCTTCGTTTGTAGCCAAATCTCAATAAATGTTTAAATCAGGATTTGTCTGTCGTAGAAATTCAAAACAGGAATGGGTAATATAGAGGAGAGTAAGGAGGGTAGAATCCCATTTCGATTTTTTGAAAAAAAGATTGACCTATTTTTACAGTCACATCTGGTGTTATGCTTCACATCTGGTGCAGCGGAAATTCACATATAATTGTTACCGATGCACATTTTTGAGATACATATGGGGTACCATCCCCGTGTATATGAATCCAATGAAATGCATTGCTTAATTCATACACGAATATAAAATTAGATTAAATAAAGTTTTTCATTTTGCTGTTTTTGTCTTCCTGTTAATTCTGCATAATTGTGGCGTTTATGCACAAACTGCCATAGTCAGATGGAATTTGTTTAATTTGAATATAATTGAAGAAAGTATTTATATATTTTTAGAAAATGAACGAAAGTGAAAGTGCCACACTTCCTATTGAAGAAAGGTATTTATGTCGTTGCATTTTTAACATATTGAAATTCCTTTACTGTAGTACATGTTAATGGACACGTTGTAAAAAGGTACTCCATACTATGATCATATGCTACAGCAAAACCTTTAAGTTTCACGTAAATATAAATTACTAGGTAAAGCTTTGCATTATCTCCCAATGTTACAATGTATAGTATATAATTCCAAAATTTGATTAAACAGACAAAAAGGTGGGATATACGAGTGTGTGTCTAAATATCCAACAAACATTGATTATTTGAAAATGATTCTGGACCGTGGAACAGAAGATGTTAACTTTAGGTGAGTACATCCCAACAAATAAACGATAATTTTAAAAAATAAAAAGTAAACTGTAAATTATAGCATTCGTGTAATCCTTTAACATAAGTAATTGTTCTTCTTACTCTTACACACAAAATTTAAATCAAACTTTTTTTTATATCTTTTTGATGCTCATTTGATAAATGAATTATGTTAAGAGGAAACATAGTTCACTTCTTGACTGTACCACTGTTGATAAGGGCTGATCAACCAAAAGTCACAGATGAGTTCAAAGAAAATAATTGTAATTTGTTAAATTACTGATTTTATATATATTATTTCCAGAGGTGAACATGGAAGAACGGCTTTACATGAGGCAGTAAGGAAAGATGCAGTTGAAAGTGTCAAGCTTTTAATGTCAGCTGGTGCTAGTTTAGAATTCAGGTTAGGTTAACTCTTTCTACAAAAACTTTTGCTGGATCCTATGAACGTTGCCTTTGCATTGTTGATCTTTGTGTTTCAATTTTAGGGCACGCGCAGTCATTTATTTGGGGCATGGAATGGCACTTGAATTTTCCATAATAACTGCGGTATGAGCACATTTAAAGATTTTTCTAAAAACAAAATTTAACCATTTTCAGGATTAGATGTTGCATTCTGCTAAAGCTGGAGCTAGGGGACAAGGACGATTACTTGAACTTGCAATTAGCACAGTCAAACCGAACCTGCAACATATTCATTTTTCTCGTTTCAGTCATTCTTTAGGGATTCCGCTTTTCTTTTACTTTTGTTGCCGAAACCTTACTCTCACTACGATTTACTTCATATAAGGGAGCGTCCGTCGCCAAGTGGTTAAGGTCGTTGACTTCAAAATAGAGAGAAATAAGAATCCCAAAAAGAAAGGCGAACAAGACAAAATTGAAAATGTTGCAAGCTCGGTTTGATTGAGCCAGTTCATGGACGGCAATTGAAACTGCAAGTTACCGTCTACGCCCCCTAGCACCGGCTTAAGCAGAATTCAACATTTAATCATTGTAATGGTGAAACTATGAATTTAATGCCATCCGCAGATGTGTTCGTACGGCGGTTGTCATGGAACCTTCAATGTGACACTTTCGTGCCATTCCATGAAAAGCGGCATATGGTCCCCAAGTAAAAGAATGCGTGTGCCCTAAAGCACTTCAAACCATTTGCCCAACACCGGTATGGGTAAGAATCCCGACAAGGACTTTAGATTCTTTCATGTGAGGAAGCTATCCAGCTAGCTTACGGAACGCCTTAAATAATGCACGGAAGGGCACCTGAGCTCTTCCTCCACCAGAATAGTTGCAACATTGCCATATGACCTATACTGTGTCGGTGTGACGTAAAGCCCAATCGAACAAAGAAACAAACAAACTTCATATAATTTGATTTATTGTTTTCAGCTTTACAGAAATTGACTCATTATTTTTAAATTTGGTTCAATCATAAAATCAATATCATAAATACTGTCAAATATTTAAACATATGAATATAAAGTGTGAAATCAATGTATTTTCAGAGATGTAGATGAAAATACTGCTTTACATTATGCTTATTTGGATGCAAAGCCTGAAGAAAATGCAGGAGAAATTTTCAAAATTTTATTTCCCCGAGGCAAGGTACTATATTATACTCCTTTGTTGAAACAAATTATACAAGATAAAATGAAATTATTATCTTTATATTACTCTGTACTGTGATCAAATACTTATTTAGAAATATTTTTAATACAATGTGACTAGATTTAAATCAATACTTTTGTCCTGTCTTCGTTAAGAACGCTGAGAGCATTAGAATAAGTAAAACCAGAAAATTGTCCGAAATTCAAAAGTGCCGTTGCCATTTGAGAACATTTGAACAGACTTGGTTCGACGCAGCAACGTCTACAAATAAGAATGGGGATAACATACTTGAACTCGTCTTAAAAGGGGACAATCTGAACGAAACTAAAAGGTATTTGAATACTGATATTTATCTTTGATAAGTTGATTTTTTTTCACACAACGTTATACTTGAAGCATTTGTAATCTGTCTAGTATATCTTACTTTTGAAAACTTTGTATTTTTTCTTAAAACGTGCATTTTTATTCGTTAAACAACTTATCTAAAAACTGTGATGTACATGTTTTGTTTTCTGGTGACAGACCTGTATTTCATACAGTGCACCCAATGTCGTACGACCCTCTATAAGGCAATTGTGTCTAAACATGGATAGAAAGATTTATACCCAATGTTAAGTAGATGCTTCTGGTAACACCTCTAATGTACTACCAATGTTTTTTATTCTTGAGGAATATTGCTCTCCAGATTGTTCTGCATTTTAATAGAGGAAAACAAAAGAGAAAAGGGTATCTTAAAATATGTACTACCAGTAGAATGAATATGCAGAGTAAAAGTGTTTTTTCTTGTTTGTTTGTGTGAAATGAAATGTAATTATTAAATTGCATTGAGATAAAATTGAACACTCACAGATTTTAGCTGATTACTTTTAAACCAAGTTTGATATTTTCTTATTTCTTTCAATGTCAAATTTTGTTTTTGTTCCACTCAGAGTCATCTCGTTTTGTAGTTTCATACTTTTCATAGATTTCATTGGACAAGAGAATATCAGTACAAACTTTCCTGTATTTAAACTTTAGATTCCATTGACGCCCGAACAATAGGCATCGAAGCAAGTCTTTCATGCTCGATTTAAGTAACCGTAATCGTGACCTTTGTATGAAGTTTAAATTTACAAAAAAATAAGTTCGCTTCTCAGAATATTTCAAAACCACCCAAGTTAGTAAATGCATCAAAATTTTAATATACACATTTAATTTCGTAATTTACAGGGAAATTGTTCAGTACTTGATCAAAGAAACAGAGATATTTTACCTCTTAAAACTTCTTAGAAACACACAACGGAACTCAACAGTTGAAGTTGGTATACCCTTTGAAAGCACTGACAACTTTTCAATTAATTCACCTTTTAGACGGCTTTTAGAGCTCTATCCAGGTACATGTATTGGAAGGTTTCCCGTTTCTCATCCCTTTTGATATTCAAATATGAGTAGTCAAATTGCAATTTACATTGCATTCAAAATTTCACAGTGAATGCCTATAGCTATTTGAAGTCTTCGAGAATTTAATTGGAAAGAAAATACCTTAAATAACGCGGCAAAATCGTAACAACTCTTGTCTAACATGAAAATAATACAAGTTGCCTCTGCTTATTATAACACATGATAAAGTGATTAAAATAATTTGTTTAATTTCAAACGGATATCGTTGTTTCATTTTTATAACAAAGAACTAAGCTTTATAAATCATTATGATAATATATACATATAAGATGTTTGTTCAGAAATTATCTCTGACCTCATGGATAGATGCATAGTAAAAGATACAGGAAAAGTTCATTACCATTTTGAGCTCCTGGATGATACCTACCTTTTACATACATGGCCACCGCAACAGGAGTACTACTGCAAATGGCTATACGAATCCAAATGGGAACATATTCATGCTAAAGGTACGCAAATTACAAAAATTGAATCACTCTATATGTACAGTTAATTATAAACATCAAATTAGCTACTGAAGATTTTCAGGTATTAAACTTCAATTTTTGAAAACAGAGTGTAGTTGCATTTACAAAATTAATATAAAAACACATTATAAATAAGTAAAGAAATGTTAATACAAATGAGTCGATTGTACCATGTAAAATGATAAAATGATTTCATTTGACGTAATGTTAATATTTTATCTCCTGTTCTCTTGACAATATGTACTTTATTTGACAGTGTTTCTAATGTGTTGCTAATTATATATTTGGCTGATTTGTGCCATGTCGTCATTTCGTTCCACCTGGCAGCAGGAAAAAACACGTGTTTTCGCCTAGCGAGCAAAAGTACAAAAAGCTGAAATTTATCGTATTATCGTGTTTTTGCAATTGCGCCGCGAAGCGAAAGAACGACACAATGTTGAGCGGAGCGAAAATACGACATTAAATAAACCAGCCACCATATATGTTACTTAGAGGCGTTATCGGTAATGATAACAAACAGCATAAAGGCGTTATTAATCTTATGCATTTAAAATAAATGTGATAAAGTGAAAAAGTGAGATAATTTACATTTCACAGAAAAAAAGAGTCGTGAAGTCTACACAAAAAAATTGTCGAAAATAAGTAACAACCACCCTTTGATGTTAATGGTAAGAAAATGCTTATTACATTCTAAAAAGTAGATTCCAAAGAAATATTTAAATTAACTCAAAATTTGATATTTTTGCTAGAGGATAGTGCCTACGTGTATTTTGCAAATAAAATGACAGTCACAGAAAAGATCAACAAGGCAAGGCGATGTTCACAAATTGTTGCGTTACAAAACCACGCAACATCAGCAGGGAACTCAATAAAAACAGAAAGAGTAGATATTGGTGGTAGCTATTCATTTGATGCTCGGGTTATGGTGAAATAGTAACAAAGAATAACAAGTCACACTTAGTTGAGGAATAATGGATGTAAAGCACCATTGACTGCTAAATAAGTGTTAGCATTATTGTGAACATCCATTCACTTTTGAAGTAACAAAATAAATACTAATTATATAAATTAACCGTTACGCAAATTCGTGCGGACTATTTAACATTGTTTTACTGTTGTTGTCATTTTCACTAATCATTTTATTCCCTTTTTTGTGTGGGAAATCTTTATTTCATGATCTTTGTTTAAAAAATATCCTGACCAAGACCTTTGACATTGTTAAGAATCTTGTTTATTATCTACTTGGAATTTTATTGGTTTAATAATTAGAAGAATTCAGAAAAACAAATGAAATTTGGTGTACGGAAGTTTTCACATTTTCACTATCGCTCATGTGCAGATTCCATCAGCAATTGCAACTGTCATGTATTTCTTGTGATAAATGCTATCGATGGATTACCCTTTCTTTTTATACTTCACAACAGTGTCAAGTGTCATGTGACAGCCGTGAAAAGTTCATTTCTCTTTAGTGTTATTATTTTTCTGGATCATTGATGATTCCATCACTTTTAAGTGCAGAAAACTGTATACCACCCAAGCCGTTCCTGGGGGGGGGGGGGGGGGGGGGGGTGGGGGGTACGTGAAAGATGTTGCACATTTCATTGGCCCTCAAGTACAAACTTAATCAGAACGAGTCTGCAACTTTCATGTAATTTTGTTGTAATTGATGCTTCCGAGGGATCACCCCTTTCAAGATTTCTTTACTGTTTTGTTTACCTACACATTTACTTATTTGTAATATTTAGACTTGATAAGGGGCCTAGACGATAACTTGCACTTGACTGTACTGTCCATGAACAGCCTTTTTGTTGTTCTGGACTTTCTTGAGGGATTCTTATTTTCTTTATTTTGATAAATTCTGATCTATTTTTAAAATCCAGTTTTTGATGTTCCACTCGTTTAGAGCATTTGCATTTTTTGACTTAGGTTAATTGCCCTTGTCGTTGAATGGCACGAACCAAGCCCCTTCAAAGTTTCCTGATTCCGTCGTTTGAACTCATCTGTGGATCGTTTGAACTCAACTGTTGATGGTTGCAATTCAAGTTCTATGTTTAAATGTTGACATCTGCTTAAAACGGTCATTAGAAGTATGTTCGGTAGTTTTAACTTACCACTTTTCTTCATGAACAGACTAAAGAAACAAATGTGCAAGATTTGAATATTGCTGGTTTGACGTTCTTTAATGTATCTATATACTCTACATATTATGCATAAGTCAAGTGAAAAAAACTGTGTACCACCCAAGCCGTTGCTGGGGGCGTGAAGGATGTTGCACATTTCATTGGCCCTCATGTACATACTTAATCAGAACGAGTCTGCAACTTTCATGTTATTTTGTTGTAATTGATGCTTCCGAGGGATCACCCCTTTTCAAGATTTTATACTGTTTTGTTTACCTACACATTTACTTATTTGTAATATTTAGACTTGATAAGGAGGCTGGACGGTAACTTGCACTTGATGTTACTGTCCATGAACAGCCTTTTTGTTGTTCTGGACTTTCTTTAGGGATTCTTATTTTCTTTATTTTGATAAATTCTGATCTATTTTCAAAATTCCAGTTTTTGATGTTCCACTCGTTTAGAGCATTTGCATTTTTTGACTTAGGTTATTTGCCCTTGTCGTTGAATGGCACGAACCAAGCCCCTTCAAAGTTTCCTGATTCCGTCGTTTGAACTCATCTGTGGATGGTTGCAATGCAAGTTCTATGTTTAAATGTTAACATCTGCTTAAAACGGTCATTAGAAGTATGTTCGGTAGTTTTAACTTACCACTTTTCTCCATGAACAGACTAAAAAAACAAATGTGCAAGATTTGAATATTGCTGGTTTGACGTTCTGTAATGTATCCATATACTCTACATATTATGCATAAGTCAAGTGAAGAAAAACGATTACTTTGAAATAATTGTTTCACGTTTTTTTATATGTATTGATGACGTCAGTAAAGGCATTTTATTTGATTAAATATTATACGTAGGTAAAGCAGTTATATTCCTTGTTCCTTTAAAATGATTTGCTATGCTTCAGAGAATCTCTTTCGCTGATTTCAGCTTAAACATAACAGAGATAATACCTCTAAAGGCCCCGGAAAAAGGGATGTTTACAGACAGCTTGTCGATCATCCTCTTGTAAAGGCTCTGATTGAACATAAATGGTTACATATAGGCAGAAAGTTTCACATCTTTAGCTTGATTATATACATGGTATTTCTATGTAGCCTGACGACGTTCCTAATTGTTATCGACACTCTTTACGTGCGCTTCCAGTAAGTTGACACAAAGGCATTATTTTCTTTATCTTTTTAGAGTATGCTGGATGCTAATTAGTTCGAAATAAATTTGGAAATAGATTTAAAAAAAACAACTAAAAACAACTGAAGAAATTAGGGTATATGATTCCAATACTAAAATTATCTTAAGTGTTTCCAAATTGAATGCATCTTTAAAAAGTAGGCTGTTTTGGATGCTTTACTTTAAGTTTATTCTTGGGAATCACATCGATTTGTTGTTTTTTTTGCATGTAAGAGCTATTTCAAATGTCGATATATTATCATTTTAATTAGCATTCTCTAAATTTCAAACTTATCTTTGGCAGGGATTCAGAAAACATATCGACAACTTCAAACAAAACAGGCTGTATAAATTCTACAGTATGCACATCAACGTATATATGCAGTTACTCAAAGGATTGCAACAACACGACCCCTTGTTACAGTACGAGTTCATATAATGTGACAACAACACCAACCACTCAAGATCTTGTCACATGTGAAACATATGGTAGCGATCCAATGATTACTGTTTTGCAGATATTGGTCATATTCCTGGGAATAATCTTGGCTATTAAAGAGGTATTTAATTATTACAGTTTACACCTAAATTATAGATTTACTGCTTGTCAGTAAATGCAGCCGCATTTTGTCAGCTCGTACACATGTTACGATTTACATACATAATGTATGAGCTGTGCACGTTAAATACAGCTATTTGATTGCTGAATACGCTACAGCGTACATAGCTCAGTTGTATTGGATAATCAATGTTATTTTCTAACCAAAATGGTTATCCTTATCATTTCAAGTCCAGATATGACTACAACAAGGACTACATTTATGCCTTTGGAGACTAAGTTTGTGCCGACAGATATGACCACGACTATGACTACAGCCCTTACTTCGACTAAACATTTACAACAAATTGTTGGACTTAAACGACTACGATTTCTAAGACATCTTTCACTACTACCGGGACTACTACGAGATTATATAAGGTAACGTCTTTTAAGATTACATGTAATTTAAAGTCTATCACTGCTTAGACTAAAAATATAGCTTCAACGATGACGAATATCATAGGACTTCTACCAATACAAATAAATTTGATCATGACGGCGATCATGCCCTCCACAACTTCGTCTACGATGAATACAATTTAAACGACTACGTTGACAACAGCTTCAATGGTGACCATTGCCGAATACATCTAAACGACATGACATTGACGACGACCAAAAAAACTAAACATAGAAATGATCAAAGGCCAAACAAAATTAGAAAACTACAGGGCGACAATTATAATGAATACAGTTTTATAACCTGTATACGTGTTTAACAAACGTATCATTCACGCGTAAGCCCTTAAAAAAAAAAACACTTTATGGTTAATAGATGATTATTTCCTTCACAAAACAATTTATGGTAATTATTATTGGCACACAAAGTAAACGTAATGAAGTGAAGGTCGAGTTAAAATTTGCTTTTTGATCACTTATTTATCAAATAGTTATATCGGATTTTACTGACAAGTACATCGATTTATACTTAAGCTTGAAACATGATTAGAGTAATGTTACCTTGACATTAACTAGCATTATTATACGATCCTTGATTACGGGCGTACCTGATCAGGGAAGTTTTCCCAACCACTGTTTTGACATGTCATCATTTTAGACTAATTAATTTTTGTTTTCGGATATTGTGTAAGTCACGCAGTATAATATGCAAAAATTGATTTATTGACAATTTTGTCGTACTTATTTCTTAAAGGTGGTCAGTAAAAATGGTTTTACAAACAAGGCGTTACGAGACCAGTATACGGTTATATCAAAATTTTCTTTCAGTCTTTTAAATCTTTATTTCACTGTTTTAAGGTGGGAGATGCGGAATTTTTTACTTTTATAACTGATATTGTTTCCTCTATTCATCATTTAGTAATTTTCTGTTTTTCATTATTGTCGAGTAGTTTTATAGAAAATCGCCAAATGCATGTTTGTATGCAAAAGCCAAGAATCATTTAATATATGCTTTTGTAATGAAGTGTTTAACATTTTGTCAGACATACTTTTTCAACGTTATGTAATTTGAATTGATAAAAACATTAATAATTAATTTTTTCTCTATTTCTTACCGCAGATTTACCATATAGTGATGACATATGGGTGGGAGTACTTTAAACAAGTCAAAAACTGCATTAAATTGACAACTTATGCAACCTCATTACTTTTTGTGATCAACTTATCGGAGTGCAAGGACACAGCGTATAGAGAGGTAAGCTTTTGATGAGATCAATCAATATGTATGGGGTTTCAATATAAGAATTGAGCTACGAACATTATAAAGACTGATCATACTACCAAATTACACTGACGTATGAGCTAAACTTACTTTACAGTATCATCCAACCTTTTAACCGTTACATTATCATCGGATTTTATTGTTTCATAATTGTAAATTAAGTGAAAAGTATATGCATATTATTGAGTGTTTGTGTGCGTATGTTACACGTGTGTTTGTATAATATCACGCATGATACTTGTTCATGTCTCTATTCACGAGCTATTTTCACAAGATAAATCTCCTTATTAAATTAAAAAATGTAAATATTATAATAAACACTCATTTTATGTATTCACATTTTCAGACATGGCAATGGGTTTTAGGCACAGTGGCTATTTTCCTGGCATGGGTCAATCTGTTAGCTTATGTAGAGAAATTTGACTGGCTTGGGATTTATGTTTCTATGCTGAACAAAATTACAAAAACGTTTTTATGTAAGATTCTTCCAATCGTTGCTATTTTACTAGTAGCATTTGCTTTAGCGTTCCTGTGTGCCCGCAAAAAGGAGGTTTGTTTGTTTGTTTTATTTCATCATTATGACATGAGCATGAATTCTTAATTTTCTATAAATTAGTTATGAATCATTTATCCTTGCGGATTTGTGAAATTTAAGCTTACTTGATTTGATTTCGATCGCTATTGGGGGATCTGCCTCATTGGAATATACCTTTATACATGTTTTAAACAGAGATACAGTGGGACACGGCAATGTTTCGTAGTGTTGTTTTTGTTTTGTTACAGGATAAATTTAAAGGTTTCCTGGTGTCATTGCTGTCAACATCGTCAATGATGGCTGATGGGTTCGATTATGAAATAATTAGTAAAGATCGTAATACTTTTTTGGTTTTTATCAGCCATTTGACTTCCAGCACCTTTTTGATTATTATGACTATTATAATAATGAATTTAATGGTAAGTATTGGATTTGTTTGGAAAAATATATTTCATTCAGAGTATGTATATGAAGACAATTGACACAATGATGGACCGAGATCTGCGAAAGTCAATAGAAGTCTTCTTATGATTGAATTGCAAATAATGCCTTATCTTATCAATGACTTTGTTGAAAGAATTGTGTTAATTAAAGATCATGTAACACAATAAATTTTTTAATCATAAATATGATGCTCATATTAAAATTTATCAATATTGTACGTTCCAAAAAAACATTATTTATAAAGATATTACCGATTTATAATTTCATGTAAATAAAGGAGGGAATAAGAAATTTATTTTCTATAAAGTTAAGTCAAATTTTACAATAAGAAATTAATGCATATATTTTGATGATTACATGTAATATGCACACATATTTGCAGTACATATGTTACATATTCTTCGATGCTTGAAAATTGTTGTACATATATATAATTTCACTTAGTGTGGTTAACCATTTTGACCCGAACATACAGGCTCTTTAATACAAGATTTCTATGGATTTCTTCTTCACTTCATTATACTTATATATATATATATATATATATATATATATATATATTATATATATATATACTTTATATATATATATATATATATATATATATATATATATATATATATATATATATATATATATATATATATATATATATATATATATATATATCGATCGAGCATTCAAGTTATAACATAATGCAAAAATGACCACTGTTATGTACTCGATTTTACAGTCTCATTTATTACGCTTACCAAAAACAAACGTGTATATTTCCAAGTGCATCAACAAGTGTTCATCACATGATTAGATCTTTGTTCTACAATTAAACAAAATGCTTGACCGTTTATGATTTTAAATGATAGGTTGGCGTAGCAATACGTAATGTCGAAGCAGTTCACATGCATGCAATGGAAGCACACTCAACATTGCAGGTTTGTGCTTATTAGTTATGATGGCTCGAATTATTGAGTAGATATTGAGAACACGCTCAAAAACCGAGACACTACAAAATCAAACAGTTAAAAGATAATTTCTGAAGATTATTTAGGTAAACTTTCTGTTTATCTTAGTAATTACACTATTACAAATCAACATATTTATAATGACTTGCTTTTGATCAGTCAGATTGAAGTAGAGACCTAAACTTCCTGACAATAACTCGTTTAAACATTCAAAAAAATCTATCATGTCATAGTTTGCTGATTGTATCAGTGTATTGTTTATTTTACAGATTGAACACAGTTTGGAATTGGAGCATATTTTCCAGGTTTTTATCACATTTTTAATGAGATTTAGACGTACAAAGAAGTTTGGTATACAGCTCAAGGTCAAATTCATCCAGCAGCCTAACAAAGAAGTACTAGCATATGTACGTACCGTTAACATTTCCAATTGTATGCAGCATCATATTTTTAATTTTTTTAATGAAGTTATAAAAAGAATGCCTTGTTTATTTTAAGTTTGCTATTGTGTTGTGAATAAAGAAAATGAAAGTGATTTAAACTACTCAGGTAATATGCATCCTTTGTTTACAGTAACATTATTAAAGTTTATAAATCTGAACTAAAATGGTTTTTCAAAACCTTAAAAAATAATATACATGATTGTATAATGACATGCTTAAAAAAGACATATCAATTCTTAATTACTTATTAAGTGGTTATTAGTTAAACTCAAGTAAAATGTGGTATTTATGAATTCGAGCTATGTAGAACCAAAATAACACAAATACTAACTCTAACATATGTGATACATAAATGAGTTATGATAAACTTTGAAATGCTGTATTATTTTAAAATATCGTAGGTTCACGCGACATGATAGCGATAAACGAAACGCAAAAAAAAACAACAAATAATTATTCAAAACTGAAAAAAAACCGTAAAAATCATTTTGAGAAAAAACATTTGTGAAATAAAGAAAAATTTTGTCGCGGCAATTCAACAATAATTAGATATCTATTATGCAAAGTTTCTTTTAACAAACAAACACATGCATATAAGTGATTATTTAATTAGAATATTATTCGAACAGACACGATCTTTGGACATCGGAAGAAAGAGGTACTCAAAAATAGAATATTATGAGTCGAAACCGGAATGGCACACATCGGCACCAGAATATGTAGCGGTAAGATTTATATACATCATTCCACTGAAATATTTTATCTAGAAAGATATGGGTAAAATATTGGTTTGCTTATTAAATATGGTATCATTAAGTGAAAGCATTAAACGCTTGTCTGATCGGATCTATTTTAAGCACGGTACGTTCTGTATGATTAGGGCCTTGTTCGTGTACATGTATTGACATGACGCTTTATGATGGAAACACTAAATATTGACCCGAACTTTACGACGACATGCTGGGTAAAAATCTAGTGGTATAACCCTTTAAATGCCATCAAGATTAAAAGTAGTGCATAAATCCTTTTCATTTTCCGTGTTACCATAAATTTAAAGGTTCGATGCAATGGTACTCAAGTGGTTGAATGTTTAAAAAAAAGAAAGAAGAAACTAGAAATTAGGAATGTGTCCATAACACGGGGACCTCAAACTCCACTGTTTTGTCAATATTATGACTCTAGGGCAAATGTTTTTCGGGCAACACGTGGCACAAGTTGAAAACAAAAAATCTGTTACAAAGTAAAATGTAAGAACTTTACAATTACTGAATAAATCCACAAACAAACCCCTTAGTGCAAAAATACACATGTTGACCAATATTTTTGTAAACTTTCAGGACAACAGGTCAAACACTTTTTGAGTTATGCATGAACGAGTAAAAAAAAGTGCAAATTGCAATGACTCTAACAATACTGAAAAAAGATCCTCATGCAAAACCCCAGATGCATAGCTTCACAGTGATGTTGATCATTATTCCAGTAAAGTTTGTTGATTTTAACTCAAGCACTCCAGTGCAACATGATGGAATGGTCAAGGACAATAACTTTGACAAAACAGAATAAATCCTTACGCAAAACCCTTGGTGCAAAACTTCACATGCTGAGCAACATCACTGTCAAGTTTCATGATTCTAGGTCAAATACTTTTGAGCTACGCACGACACAAAATGATAACGGACGGTCGAAAGGACGCATGGACCGACGGACGGATGTTTAATCTAAATCCCCCCTCCCCCTAAAGTGGGGCACATTAAAACGTCATATTTCAAGATGCAGCAAAACTATAAAGGTGAAAACTTACCATTCTTAAGATTGATGCAAAGAAAATTTCGGTGTCCAAACAATTGCACTCCGCCACCGTATATAAAGGAATAGATCTTAAGCGGAATTGATCGTTTACTAGTATTAAACGTGTGTTTTCAACAGTTTAACTTGAACACCAAAAATGTATATAAAAAACCCCAACAACAAACAAACAAACGTTTGAATTTTGAAATATACGGATTTACGCTTATAAAATAGACAAGCCTTTACATTTATCTTTTACGTTTTTGTAACATATTTGTGGCATCAAAATATTGGCGTTTTTTTTTTACCTCATCTGACTCAAAATGCTCAAGACGAGCTTTTTTATCACAATTTGTTCGGCGTTCATTGTCCGTCAATGTCCACGTGTGTCCGTTGTAATTTTTTCCCTGTGATTAAGCTATTGTTTGCCCACCTTCAAAGAAGAGGGGGTATATTGCTTTGCATTTGTCTGTCGGTCGGTCCCTAGACCAAATTGTTTCCGATCAATAAACACACGCTTAGGCCTAGGAACTTCACACTTGGTATTATGATTGTTCATGACCAGTAAATGACGATTGATATTGGGGTCAAGGGGTCCAAGGTCAAGGTTAAGGTCACATTAACTTTGAAGGTAAAATCGGTTTCCGATTAATAACTAAGAAGTGCATAGACCTAGGATCTTCAAACTTAGCACGATGATTGTTCATGACCAGTGGATGACTTTTATTGATTTTGGGGTGAAGGGGTCAAAGGCCAATGTTACATTGGCCTTGTAGGTAAAAGTGGTTTCCGATAAATAACTAACGAACGCTTAGACCTAGAAACTTCAAACTTGATATGATGATTATACATAACCGGTAGATGACCCTAATAATTTTGGGGTCAAGGGGTTAAACGGACAAGATTACATTGACCTTGTAGATAAAAAAGGTTTCCTATCTATAACTAATGAACGTTTAGGCCTAGGATCTTCAAACTTAGTATTATGATTTTCATGACGAGTACATTACTCCTATTGATTTTGGTATGAAGGGCTCAAAGACCAAGGGCACATTGACCGAGAATGTAAAAACGTTTTACAATCAATAATTAAAAGAACGCTTACGTCTAGAAAGTTCAAACTTGGTATGACGATTGTTCATGACTGGTAGATGACCCTATTTATTATGGGGTCAAGGGCCAACGGACAAGGTCACATTGACCTTGTTGGTAAAACGGTTTCCGACCAATAACTCAAGAACTGAAGTTGCCTTGGTTGATATTTTTTATTAAACTAAAAACGCTTTTGATATACACATTTCAACGTCTTATGTAATATAACAAATTAGCTGTCATTAAGGAGGCCTACATGAATCACAAAAGTTATGCATATATTATTTGGTAGGATTTGTGATAACTTTGTCATAAAATTGCTTCATACTACTCAAACTTTACGGTCACAATTACCCAGTGACTTGACATGAAAAGTAGATAGCCCCTATTGATTTTATCGTTCCCTATGTCAAGAGTTAGTCATAATAAACTGACCACATGACTAATTGGCTGCCGATAGGGGGCATTCATGTTTTACAAACATATATTTTATGGTTTCTAAATTGTTTGACTTTTGATCACCTAGGGTAAAAAATTGTCACACACTCCAAATTTGGAAAAACCTTTAAACGCTCTACAGTCTTCTGTTTCGGTCCAAATATCTTTGAATATAGTTAGAAAGGTTGTTTTGATGATTTTAAGCTCAATAACCAATATAGATCACCCGGAAACAAAAACAAGGTAACATTGTCCAACTGTTAAAAAACATTGTTCTTTTACTCAAGAGTTTCTGTTTAAGTCTTTAATCATTGAAATTGGTCAGATAGGTGGTTGACATGTTTATACGTCAAGTGCAAATATGGGTCACATGGGGCAAAACGTAGGTCACACAACCAAAGTATGGAAATAGCATCATAATACACTACAGGAAACATTTGTTCCTAAGTAGCCTTGGAATTTGTCAGAAAAGTCGTTAAGCCATTAACAAAACATAGGTCACAGAGTCAAAGGTAGGAAAAACGTTGTTAACATTAGGGGTAATATTTCATTCAAAATATCGTCTGAAAAATGGGTCAAAAACTAGGTCACAGATTCAAATTTATAAAAAAAATGTATTACACTCTTAATTTGTTAATTTTCTTACTTTTTTATATCCCGGCAGTTTCACATAAACAACATAAGCTATAGACTTGAAACTTCATAAGAAGATTGATCTCATTGAGAAAGAGATACGAGGACTCTGTACTTCATGATTTTAGACCGGGCTAATTCTCCTACAATTAAAAGCTTTTGACTTAAAACTTCATAGGATGATGGATCTTATTCTGAAGAATTGCAGTGCACAAGAACTTGTATACCGCATTTCATTATTTTTTATTTATTTCCCTATGTTAATTCTTTTACTTAATAGGGTTATCCAGAGCATAACTTGGTCACTTGTAGTTTGATTGACTCAAAATTTGGTATATTAGTTTTTTTCATTGACCTGAAGTGCAGCGCTTAAGAATCCAACACGGAGTCCTCCAGTTGATATGTCATTGTAAAACATTTCCATTGTATTCTTAATTTTTAATAATATAACAGTTTTATTGATCTTGATGTAACATTGTTACAATCAGTTCAAAAGTCACTAAGGTTAAAGGTACATGTACATTGTAAGAGCAATATTTATAAATAACCTATATGTAAGAAGAAAAATGCCTGTAACAGCTATTGTACTGTTTACAAGGCAACACATCCGACTCGCGGAGTTCTATCACTTTGCTACGATTTACCTAAAATAATTGAATAACGATTTATTCTAAAATGCACTAGGGTGTGAGGTATCACAGTAACGCCATCTTTATAATCATAACAACAATTAGTTTAATTATCTTAAAACAATTGTTTAACCCCTTTACTATGGATCTAACGTTAATACGCATTTACAGATTTTTACATGAATAATTATACACAACAAGATTTTTTTCCACTTTTTCCTGAATTGGACTTTCAAAAGAGCTGCAGATACAGTTTGTCCTTTCGTGATCGTCAGAGGCAACTAAGTGGGTTTGAATAACTGGAGCGCGTGCAACCCTAAGCTTCAACAGTTGGGATTGTGTTACTTTGAAGACAGCAACACCCGAGATCAGCCAAAATATTTTTTTCTGCGAGGTATAGTCAAAAAGTTCCCGAACTCTTACCATAACTTTGTTATTTTGTGTATGTTTTTATAATGACATATATCACATTAAAATTTAGAGAAATCGCTGCATGAATATATAAGAGTCAATGATTTTCATAAATGTTACACATATTTAACACCCCGTTAAAGTTACACACTATGTCATGTACGGAACACTTCGCGACGTCGACGACGCTAACGACGTTCAGGTAACGTTCATATTCCAGAAACAACTTTGCTTTGTTTTCATCTGTTAGTAACCTAGGTACCAAGCGGGCGCATACCTTATTCATGTTTAAATCCTTCGTCACTATCTTATGTACAGTTCCATGACAAAGCCCGACGGTGTCTGTGATATCATCAATCGACTTTCTCCGATCTTTGGCGATGACGTCCTTCACATTTTGATTTGAGCGCTGATCGTTACCCGGTCTTCCGCTTCGTGCACTTTCGTTAATTTCCGTCTGACCTTCCCTAAAACGCTTGTGCCAGTCAAACACAAGTGTCCTAGAACAATTATGAACTCCCTCCTTCTGATTCAAAAACTTCCAGGTATCAGTCGGAGTCATTCCAGACATCGCACAGAATTTAATACTGCCCGCTGCTCCGTACGTTTTTCTGAGGTTGACATTTTTTCGTATAGAAATTTTCACAAGGCTTGAATAATCGTGCACAAAATGGCGATACGTCATCCGATCACGCTGAATTTTTGCAGTTGTTTACTAGTAACGGTCAGTTGACGTCACGTACAAAAATCACGACGTTCTTGCGCCAGTATTTTGAGACATTCATGAAAGAGTATCATTCACTTCTAGAAAAATCAAATTAATTCTGAAATGCTCCGTACACGGGTTGCTTGCATGTTTATGTGAAAAATGGTCGAAATGTTTAGGCATTCATATTATCGTAACAAATTTTCCCCAAAGGTTTCCGTATTTTGTCTTATTATGATATACAGGAAATATGCCACAAATGCAATGTCTGGTACTTTGCGCTAGAAATTAAAATAATCTCAAACTGCGATCATCCACAAATAGCTTAAAACCAAATTTGTAATGGAAGTTATAGAGCCCGTTTGATTAAGACTGTATTTAAAAGGCAATACAAACTGTAACTTAAATATAACTCACGCCTCCGGCCCGGTCATCCGAGTATTCAATCTTCATATATAGAAATCATTCAGTCTTAGTGACCATGACATATGTTACAAAAAGTTGTCTCAGTTCAGGTACTAATGTACGCAGATCATACACACATTTATTCAGAATAAAATGTTGTTTTTTTTTTACTTCCGAGCATTCTGTTTATTTCAAAATGGCATATGTCTGCACATAATGATTCTATATCAATATGGATACCTCATTTTTCATTTATTTCAGAGAGACAGGTATTCGCGGCACTTTAACAATAATTAGATACCTATTATGTTTAGTTACTTTTGAATAGACAAATGTGTATAAAGGATTATTAGAATATGATTTGAACAGGAACAGATACGACCTTTGGACATCGAAAGAAAGAGGTACTCAAACATGGACAATCATGAATCCAAACCGGAATGGCATCCAACGGCACCATATAATATAGCGGTAAGATTTATGTATCATTTGTACAGACTCAATCAAACCGAGTCTGCAATTTTCATGTAACTTTGTTGTGATTAATGCTTCCGAGGGATCATCATGTTTCCAATTTTTAAATATTGGCTCGCTTATGAAATATGGTATAAATTAGTGAAAGCCATAAACGCATATCCCCTCGACTCTATTTCAAGCATGTATGATTTGGGCCTTGTTCGTGTACATGTATTGATATGACGCTTCATGTAATAAATACTTTTGACACAAATTTTACAACATGCTGAGTAAACATCTAGTGGTTAAACCCATTGCATTAAATGCCAGCAAGATAAGAAAGTAGTGCATGAATCCTTTTCGATTTCCGTGTGACCATAAATTTAAAGTTTCGATGCACTGGAACTCATGTGGTTGAATGTCAAAGAGAGGCGAAGAACGTTTTATTTCATAACGAATGAAGATGTAACAAAACTATAAAGGAGAAAAATTATCATTCTTAAGATTGAAGTTTAAACAATTTCGGTATCCAAACCATAGCACTCCGCCGCCGTATATAAAGGAATACATCTTAAGCGGAATTGAACTTGTCCAAAATTTAACATGTGTTCCCAACAGTTTAACTTGAATACTAAATAGTATATAAAAAATAAACAAACAAATTTTTGAGTTTGAAATAGAAAAGCCTTCACATTTATCTTCTATGTTTTAGTGACATGATACATGTGGCAACCAAATTCTGTTATTTTCTAGGATGTTTTTTTTGCATATTTTGTTTTTTACCTCATCTGTCTCAAAGTTGTCAATGTGAGCTTTTGTTATCACAACTTGTCCGTCGTCCATCGTTTGTTAAAGCGTCCGTGTGTCTTTTATTTTTTCAAGCAACTTCTACTCTGAAACCGCGATGAATTTTCTTGCCATGAGGGTAATGTTTGTGCCCCAATATACAGAACATTTGTCAGAAACGTTGTTTTATATGATTACTTATTCGTTTGATTACTGGTCATCTAGGGTCAAAAACTAAGTTACACAACCCGAATTTGTAAAAACCCTGTTAACACTCTAAATGCTTCTGTTTCGGTCTGAATATCTTTAGATATAGTCTTGATTGTTTTGACGATTTTAGCTCAAGAACCAGTATTGATCACCAGAAAACAAAAAGTAGGTAACATGGTGCAAATATTGAAAAACATAGTGTTTTTACTCATGAGGATTCCTTTTAAGTCTGAAATTGGTCAGATAGGGGGTTTAAATAAAAATTAGGTCAAGTGCACATATTGGCTACATGGGAAATAAACCTAGGTCACACAGCAAAATATGGATTTTGCTTCGTAAAACTCTTAGAGAAACATTGTCTCCCAAAAACCCTGGGATTTTTCAGAACAGATGTTTAGCAATTATGGTTCATTTAGGATCAAAAGATAGGTCACAGAGGTACTATTATCTTTCAAAATATCGTCTGAAAAGTTGCTTCTATAATTGCTTGGGTCCAAACTAGGTCACAGGTTAAAGTTTATTAAAAATGTATAACACTCTCGAGGTAATATTTCAAGCCCAAATATTATTTAAAAAAAGGCTTTCTTCATTCCTATCTTAACAACTTTGAACTTTGAACTTTATAGGAAGATAGATCTCATTAAGAAAAAGGGCAGTGCACAAAAACCACTACTCTGCACTTCTTTTTTGAGTTATTGTCCTTCGTTAGTTTTCATACTCTATGACCGGGCCATATCTCGTAAACTATTAAAGTTATGGACATCAAACCTCATAGGATGATATATTTCATTAAGATAAGAATTCATTAAGATAAAGTGCAATGCACAAGAACTGGTACTCTGTTCTTCATGAATTTAAGTTATTGCCCTTTGTTTATTGTCTTACTTTTTTATATCCCGGCCCTTTCACATAAACAACATAAGCTATGGACTTGAAACTTCTTAAGATGATAGATCTCATTGAGAAAGATGAACGAGGACTCTGAACTTCATGATTTTAGAGTTTTTGCCCTTTGTTAATAATATTTTTTTTGACCGGACTAATCTACACTTTAAAAGCTATTGACTTTCATAGGATGATGGATCTCATTCAGAAGAATTGCAGAGCACAATAACTTGTACACTGCACTTCATTATTTTTTATTTATTTCCTTTTGTTAATTTTCTTACTTAAAAGGCTTATCCAGAGCATAACTTTATCACTTGTAGTGACTCCAAATTTGGTATATAAGTTTTTTTTATTGACCTGAATTGCAGCGCTTAAGAATCCAATACAGAGTCCTTTATTTGATCTGTCAGTGTTAAAAAATCATTTTCATGGTATTTTTGATTTTTAATGATATAACAGTTGTATTGATCCTGATTTAACATTGATACAATCAGTTCAAGGTTCTATCACTTTGCTACAATTTAACTGAAAATAATTAATTAACGATTTATTCTAAAATGCACTAAGGTGCGAGGTATCATAGTAATATAATCTTTATAATTATATCAACAATAACCTTTTTTAAAACAATTTTTTAACCATTTACTATGAATTTAATGTATACGCATTTACAGTTTTTCAAAATAACTATACACAACAAGATATAATCCACAGGAAATATGTCACAAATGAAATGTTTGATACTTTGCGCTAGAAATAAAAATAATCTGAAACTGTGCTCATCCACGAATAGCTAAAAATCAAATTCACAATGGAAATCATAGAGCCGGTTTGATGGAGACTATTTATAAGAGACAGTACAAACTGTAACTTAACTGACGCACCTCGGCTCGTTCATCCGAGTTATCATTTTTTTCAAATATAGTAATAGTTTAGTCTTTTAAACCATGACATATGTTACCAAAAGTTGTTCTATACAAACATCTTATTTATTCACATAAAATATTGTTTTGTTTTTTTTACTTTTGAGCAATCTGTTGTTTTATGATGGTATATATCTGCCACGTAACGATTCTATGTCAACATGGATACCTAATAACTTTTTTATTTCAGAGAAACAGGTTTGACATGAATACACACAAGTTGAATGACTGGGAATGTTTTAACCGGTTTATATATCTAGGGTCTGAATTGTCATATAATCCGCATAACAAATATCCATATCGTAAGAAAGCTGAGTGTATAGACAGGTGAGTATTTAGAATTTCATAGTAATATTTGTTATATGTAAAGAAGCTTTTACTCATCTCTGTAACGAGAATGTAATTTTTAGGCAAAGTAAGTTTTAAAGACAATTGATTAAATACTTAAACTAATAAAACCCCCGTACAACGAAGTTGTAAGGGGGTATACTGGAATCAGCTTGTCCGTCCGTCTCCCCGTCCGGCTGTCCGTCGGTTTTTCCTTGTCCGCCCAATAACTTAAGATTCATTTGATAAGTAGATGACCCCTATTTATTTTGAGGTCACTGGGTCAAAGGTCAAGGTCACAGGGGCTTTGACTTCAAAAAGCTTGTCCGCCCAATAGCTGAAGATTCCTTTGACCCACAGTCTTCATATTTGGCATGGAGGTTAGTCATGATGAGAGGATGATCCCTATTGATTTTGAGGTCACTTGGTTAAAGGTAAAGGTCACAGGGGCCTTGACTAAAAAATCTTGTTGCCCAATAACTTAAGATTCCTTTGACTAGAAGTCTTCATATTTGGCATGAAGGTTAGTCATGAATAATAAGAAGGTGACCCCTATTGATTTTGAGGTCACTGGGACTAAGGTCAAGGAAACAGGGACTTCGACTTCAAAAAAATGTTTGTCCGCCCAATCATTAAGAATCCTTTGCCCCACAGTCTTTATATTTGGCATGGAGTTTCATCATGGCCATTAGGTGACTCCTATTGATTTTGAAGTCACTGGGTCAAAAGTCAAGGTCACAGGGGCCTTGACTTAAAAGGTTGGCCGCTCAATTGCTTAAGAATGCTTTGGTCAAAAGTCTTGAAAACATATTTGGTATTGAGGTTGTTTTTGACTAGAAGATGACCCCTTTTGATTTTAAGGTGACTGTGTCAAAGGTCAAAGTCACATGGATTTTACTATAATAAGCTTGTCTGCTAAAATGCTTAAGAATGCCTGTCCGCAGTGTATTGATTTTGACATTTTCACATTTGAAGCATGTATAATACATAACTTAGCAATGCACTGGCTTAGTAACCTCAGATTTGGCAGGGAGTTTGTCCTTGAGCTCTAAATGGCCACTGTTAATTCTGTCAAAGTGGTATGCTTGGGTATTCACGCCATGACAGTGGCAGTTTTAGTTTATTTTGTTTACTTTTTTTTAATAAATAATATGCAAAACAAATAAATGATATTAAATGATGTAACAGGAATAATTGGTAAAAACACAAATTGTTGTTAAACTTAAAGATACAAAGTAACACAAAGTAAAAAAAAATGCATAATGACAAGTCCTGAAAATAATCCTGACCTAACATAGATAAACAACCTTTCGAAAAAGATAAGACATTCTTTATCGGAACCAAATTTGAACTTTGCTACCTGTAACCAACACCTCAGATCAGTAAAAGATCTGATTTCCATTTGGTCGAGAAAGGGTGAAACAGCACATTGACAATTGTGTCAAATTTTAAAAGGTCCATTCGGGTGACTAAGAACTTTCTCGATTGGCATGTGCCTTATTTTGCCTACTCAACGCACACTTAAGCACTATCGGTGCCTCGCTTCAAATCAGGTGTGCTATTTCAGGTGCTGCTGTTGTGCATTTATACTTTTTTTATCAAGATCTCTGCCGAGACAAGACATATACGGTTTAAAAGAAGGTATCATGGCCAAAAATGTAACTTTAAGAAAGACAGCATTGTTTATGTCATCTTTGTCAATTTTAACACACTTTTTATCATATCCCTGTGCTACCAATCCAGTCTTCCTTGAAAAAAAAACTCGGATAGTGTCTGACTATTGATCCCTCATAATATCCGAATCAGCGCTAAGAGACAACTAAAATTATGACAATTGTAATGATAAAGACTGTGGCAATTAAGATAATGATGATATTGATTATGATGATGAAAGGGATGATTATAATGATGTTGAGTCTTAGTTCAGAAAATTCAATATGAATGCTAAGTGATAATCTTTAGATTGAAATCGGGAGTATTTTTGCCATAGACTTGCCATGGACAGCATCTGAAAACTTTGTATGTTTGTTAGTAGTAAAGATGGTAAAACGAAACACATTACCTTTGCAATATGTTTATTATTTGAACAATTCAAGAACAATTCAAGATTTCATAGCTTTTACAGTGAATTATATATCAATATCGGTAGCTTTTTTTGCGAAATCAACTAAAACGGAGTCATTTTTTCCGCGTACCGTCGTTAATTTATCATCCCGCGCACAGCACAGTATCATTTGAGATAAAAAAACCCCATATAAACACAACATGCATGATGGAAAATGACCTGAAAGTCACCATTTGAAGTAAGTGTATTAATAAAAGTGTGTCTACAGAATATTATGATCATTGAAGGTTATGGTTTTACCTAGTATTTATCAAAAACTTGTATGATTTCTTGTTTTAATGAAAACAGATAGAGCTGGCTTGAGAAAATTATCATTTGGAATACTTTTAAAATGAGAAAATTCTGTTGTCAGTCAAAAAAATTATTTAGTATAAATGTAAGCATCAAAGATATGTATACACAGAATATTGTACACAAATTTATACTGTTGATTTTTTAAAAAAAAAAATCATAAAAGCATGACAAATGACCGAGTTCTTCGTACCGTATCATGGATCCGCACCGAAAATTGTGACACCGTATACATTAGCGCTAGACCTGCATGGCATTATGATGCCTTACCTAATGCTGAATAATCTTATTTATATTTATTTATTGTTGCCAATCTGTGTGGCGAAGCTTGTAGATGTATATAATCATTTACAAACCGGAGGAAAATGCATAAATACTAAAGATGCTTCAGTTCTAGAAGTAAAACTGGTTCTTTTATTTGTCCGGCGTAAACTTATGGGACCACGGTCATATTCGAAAGAATTTGAGTTTTGAGATCAATTCGATTAGGGCAACCTGAGTGAAAATTGCTAACTTTCTTATAATTGTAAAGAAGCAAGTTTATATTGAAAATGTTATGTATATTTAGCACAAATATGCATAAATAATTGTTACCATTTTACACATACTCTTTGAGATAGTGCTTACGACGAGAGTTCTAAAAAAGCTTTTCAATCTACCAACTCGAACCGTACAATTTATTATTTGTCAATTATCATGTAAATGAAATGTTTATAAGTTAAATATTTATAAAACTTAAGAATTTGAGTAAATACATTGGAAGAGTTAGGAATCGAACCCTTGACTTCTGGACTGAAACGTCGGACTTGCAATTCTGGCATCGCTTGTCAAGGCGTGAGCTCGAACGCCGCCAGCGACCATCCTATGTTTCCTTGAGCATGAAACTTACATTGTTGTGGTTAAAGTTATCTATAAGTTTTAAAATAGCCTATCAATAACTGGAACTACAAGTATCAACAGTGTCAAAACATACGAGCAAACCGACACAGATATAAATAAAGGGAGAATTACTCAAGCACATAGTTGCCGCCTTTCCTAAGCTCAGTAACATGAGTAAGTTACGTGTCCTGTCAATTAGTTAAGTAACTAAAATTCAAATATAAAAGAAAGACTGTTAGAGAAATACGAGCTTCGGTTTGCTTGTGCATTGTATTAGCAAATTTGAGAGTTCAAGTTCAATTACTATTATCAGCAAATAATATGCAATTCGCGAGTCAAAATAAAAGTTTAACTTCACAACAGACATAATGACTGCTACGAAATCATAAAATTTTAAAAGGAAATTATCTTTAAAAAAACTATAAAGGTGCAGATTGCTTCCAGGCCAAGGTCATCCACTGCCCCGCTTACCTTTACTGGTAACCAAACATGTACCTTTTCTTGTCTACAATAAAAATAACCACAAAAAAACGGTTAAACGCATTTCAAGCAGCACACCTCCAGATTCATGTTTATTTTCATGAAAATTTAAAATTGTATTTAACAGTATAATATTGTAAAGTTACCAAAAGAATGCAATTTACACATTATCAATAGCATTTGCAATCTATTTAAATTACTATAAAGAGGTCAAAATATGCAAAATAGCCCTTACTAAGTTAGTTATACTGAAGAAATATAATTATACATACTGAAAAATTCGGCCATTAATCGTACATAACATGTCCATTTTTACTAGAATTTTGAATCTTTTTACCTTTCCTAAAATTTAAGTACATTTTTCTCAGGTTTGATTTTATCGAAATATTTTTGCTCATATGGAGGCGTGCAGCTTTTCAAAGTACATGTATGCAGTATTTAAGCGCAAAAAGAAGCGGTGCCATGGTTCTGCATGATGCGGTACCACGTTTATCAAAGTTTTCTTGATTTTACAACATTATTTTGCATATTGTGTATAAAATTGTATAAAATTGGTATGTGATCAGCTCGTGTCAATGCTTTTTGTGATTATTTGACATATGATACTTCTTCCGACAACTATACTTTCGGAAAAGGATGAAAAATGTACGCATCAAGAACGCAAGTGTTTTACATGTATAAAGGTGTTTTCATTAGTTTCAGGTTATAATAGACAAATATTGTTGCAATTGGTTTTACACACATAGATGAAACATTCAAAATATCCGTGATGTATGCAAACTCTCTAAATAGAATCAATTTTAGTAAGAAATTTTCGCATTTCTGAACTAACCTCTTGCACTTTTCAGAAGATTACGTAAGAATGATACGGTGTTGCGCGCACGATGATAAATTATCGACGATACGCGGAAAAATGATGCGTAAACCCTTGTCACGTGTCTTTGTACATACATAGGTCATTCTCTGCTGAAAACAAGTAGGCAACATATTGCACCAATCTAGTAAATTTTATTTTACTGATAAAAGGTGGAATGTTAAGTTTAAAAGAAGTATACCACAAAACACTAGTATGTCTTAATATGTCTATATCGTTCTAGGGAATATGTTCATTTTTTTCAATTACTTCAATCCAACAGTAAGCTAAACAAAATCGTGATGTTTTGCCTCACCTACCGCCTCCAAATGAACCAATTATTCTTACACATTCGTACACATCGTACGTTTTACACGTATCCATTTTTATATTATCTTTTGGCAAATATAGATAAAATGTCAAAATATGAATCTCAAAATCATTAAAAAACACCTTACTTTCGGCTTCGTAGCGACACAGATTATCTCTTTGCTACCGAGGTTTCTGGTCACAGGTACCTTCTCTCTATTTAATTAAAAGCACGGGTACCCTTTTAACTGTATTAATTAAGTAATATTCAATTCAATTTTTACTTTTTTAATATGATTTTCGTTGTATTAAGAATTGAGTATTTGAGAGAGAACTCAGTAAAATAGTATAATACAATCTTTTTTCAAGAATCGTTTTTTTCTGTAATATAAGAAGTTGGTAGTTATTTCTAAATGTTCAAAAAGATTTATTTTCAAATCTACGAAGTGTTTCGTTTAGTTTGTAATTGGCAAAGGCTTACTTAAAATACGTTACAGGCTTTGGCTGTTGGATATTCTGGCGTGTACAAGGGCTATATACTACAGATACAGACATCTATGGAACATCAGTTTGTAATCGGTCAGTTTTGCATTGAAAATATAAATGACTACCGAGAGATTTGAAAGTAATGCTAATCTCGATTAGAACCTCTTTTCTTTGAGAATTGATTATGAAATGGAAAGTTTAATATTGTGTAGCTATCGATTACTTATACAACAGAAAAATAAAACGATTCTGGGTAAAATGTTGTGAATGTGTTTTACCATGTTATTGACTTCTTAACTCGTTCTCAATCAAATCAGACAACAGCACGCCAAAATACTATAACTTTTATTTTACGTAAATACCAGTAGTGCGTAAAATTAAGTTTTTTGGTCGCATACTCGATTTTTTATTCCGCCGTTTTTTCAAGAAAAATATGATAAGAAAACGGAAGGTATTTAATTAATAAAGTGCTTAACAAGAAACAAAATGAGAAAGATGGAATATGTGACAGAAAAATTCAAAAGCAAAGAGCAAAGTAAGATGTTTTTCTATGAATTTAAAATGCATTTCAACTATTTATTTGTCCAAAGATAATACAAAAATATGCTATTTACATAATCAAATCATTTGTAAATTTTGGTCTAGAGAGCGAGACGGTGGGTGTAGCGAAACATCGCGATTTTGTGTTGCTTATTTTAAAGATGCAGTAATTGAAAAATGGACACACTCCTTAGAAAGACAAAAATTCTAGTGTATCGGGGTATACTTCTTTTCCTCGCGACATACACTCATTTATCGGATGAATGAATATTACCTAGATTAGTATATATTGCTTACTTGCTTTCAGTTGAGAATAATCTGTGTATGTGCAAAGAGGGCACCTTTTTCGTACATGTCGCAAAGAGTGTACTGAAATTGATATGCACTGTTTTTACTTAAGCGAGTAAAAACATGGGTTGAATTGAAGTGGGAAAAAGAAACAGGCAGCTATTTCAATGTACTTACATCAACAGACAGACAATCGTTCTGAGTTAATCTGATTCCTTTGATCTGTTGATCTCTAAGACCCTATAAGCATTATTTTCCAAAAAAAAAGCAAAACAAAACAATAATGGCACTTGTGTCGGAACGGACAGGCGGGCGGGCAGGAATTTGCTATTATAATAAGTAAACGAAAAACATGTTAAACATCTTAAACGTCTCCAGGCGAGTAAAATTGAACACAGAAGTTCAACAGTTCTATAATTAAATCATGCCATATTATTTTGCAATATCATTTTCTCATTCTTTAAGTGATAAGATACATTTGAGTATGTGAGAGAGTAAATTGCAAAACACTACAAACACAGTATAAAAACTAACATTATAATGTTTGTAAAAAATAATAAAAGATGCTTTTAGAGATCAACGAAGATGAAAGGAGTAAAATCAACTCACAAAAATGTTCATATAAATTATCCGTTGCAACCATAAGATGTTTAACAAAGTTAGAAATAACAGTTTCAAAACATTGTTTGTAGAGATATAAAATGCGCTTACTTTTAATACATACGCCTATAATTTCAGACTTATTGGTGCTGGGAAAGGAGTAGAGGTGGTGAAACAATTATCTACTATAAGTAAATATGGCAGATCATGGCGACAAAACTATTTGATATTTGCACTTGCAATATGTGCAAGATCTAACGATAAGGAAACAAAGAAAGAAGCATATAAAGAACTCAGTGCGATATGCCATTTGCCGACACATTTATTTTTGTTTGTCAATTATTGCAAACAAGAAAGTTTGCGGTCAGGATCCAAAGGTTGGGGAAGAGCACATCGTAGAGCTATAATCAAGTGGTACGAAGAAAAGGCTAAATATCCAGTTGTTTTAGCTCGATTTTTGACAAAATACAAGTCACGTAAAATGCAAACAACCTATAAGTATGAGGAAGGAGAGAAGTATAAGGAGGAAGAGACCTGGTCGCATACTGACATATTAAAGAACGCACATCCACAGTTCAAAGATGATTTCATGAAAGTAGTTCAGAAATATCTTTATGGTGACTTTAATAAAGCAAAAAGTTTTGCATCAAGTATGGAAAGGCCAAATGAAAGTATTTTAAAATTTCTGAACTACATAGAAGGTACAGAAATAGCAAAAACATGCACTGATGTGAAACTCGAGGCACTTATTAAGGAGTATAATCTGGAGCGAGAGCATATTCCAACACAGAGACCGATGATTCCCATGGTTTGTAAAGCGATTATGTCAAACATGACAGCGGAAAAAAAGATTCTCAATATCAATCTGATGGCTTCTAAAGGCCTTTGTAACGAGGGGTCAGAATGCGAAAAAGAAATGATTGCGATACTTAATGACGAGAAATTTTTATGTTTTGAAAAGATTCATCCAATCAGAATTCTAATTACTTTATTGTCGTACAAACTCGGAAAACAACAAGAGAAAACTAAAACTAAGAACGCTAGGGTCAATAGTCGTAACGTAGAATGGAATGTGAACCAAAACATCTGTCGGGCGCTCAATGAAGCCTTTTATCGATCATTCAATACCGTTCAGTCGAGTAAAAAGCGCTTCTTGATAGCGATTTCTGGTAGCGAACATATGGATACAAAATGCACTATTTGTCCTACAATTAACTATAAACAGGCTGCAGCGGTTATGATGATGCTAACAATTCGCACTGAAGAAAAATGCAAAATTGTTGGATTTTCTGATGGTCTAAAAGAACTAACAATAGAAAAAAACGACAAATTGGAGATTGTAAGCCAGAAAATAAGTGAATTAAAAGCCGGCGAGACTGATGTTTCTATTCCAGTTCGTTGGGCTCTGGAAGAGAAAAAGAAATTTGATGTTTTTATAGTGTATTCCGACAACGACAAAACAAAGTGTCATAATGCATCTGAAGCTCTGACTGAATATCAAAAGGAAATGGAAATACCTGAAGCAAAATTGATCGTTGTTTCGCTGTTATCCACTGACAACACCATTGCAGATGATCAAAATCCTTTCATTCTTAACATTGTTGGTTTCGACAAAAATGCTGCAGTTATCATGCAAAAATTCGCCAACTCAGAAATTTGACGTATTGATTTATTGTTTGTAATATATGGTCACTTGGCAATTATATATGTAAAGGCCTGAATTAATTTGAACAATTGTATAGACATATGTGGCTACAAATTTATTCACCGACATGCTCTAAGGAATCTTTTTCTAAACATAACAACGGACGAATTAAGAAATGTGTATCTCAAATAATGACTTTTTATCTGACAAAGTATAGAAGTGACTCAGCATATGAAGCAAGGCTACTCCAGAAAGATAGCTTATCAAATGTGATGAATATATGGACTTTAACTGGTTCAATATACATACAAACAAAATTTGGACTGGTAAAAAGAAATTGCATAAACGGATAATCTAATGATGTACTATTGAAATGAACTCAATAAATAACATGAGTTTTTTGTCTTTAAATTTTGAAATCAACAACAAAATGACTTGAAGTAACATAATGAAATATGTCAGGAAAACCATTCATGATCGTAGCCTTTAATGCAATGTAACCAGGCTCGGACGAGACTATGATGAGACATTCAAAGTTTATAAAAATGTATATGTGTTCATGCATGTGTTTGTGTATGTTTTAATGTGTGTGTGTGTGTGCGTGCGTGCGTGCGTGCGTCTGTGCGTATATGTGTGTTGATATAATCTTTATAACGTTCAGTACTGATATCAGGCAAACTCATTAGATATGTTATGTGTGGTTATCTTTATAACGTTCACTACTGATATCAGGCAAACTAATTAGATATGTTATGTGTGTGTGTGTGTGTGTGTGTGTGTGCGTGTGTGTGTGTGTGTGTGTGTGCGTGCGTGTGTGTGTGCGTGTGTGTGTGTGTGATGATGATAACACCTTGCTATTCATATATATGCATGTAAAGTGTGTTTGTACTTAAATTGTAAGGAGTCATATTCAAAATCTTTTCTGTAATTTATCTTTCTAATGACATATTATAAAAAAATAAATAAAAATAAAATTGGATCAAAATTGTCAGAAGAAATGCAAATTTATAGTTTACTATAGATTTACACATGCATGTGTTTTGATTTGTAAATTAACATGATATTGGCTATACAAGTGTTCAAGATTGTCAGCACATTCTAAAGTAAAATACCTCTGTATTAAAAAATATTCATGTCAAATTATTAACTATTGTTATAGATTCTTTATAAAATCAATTATTTTTATTAATCAATAATATTATTTTTATATCTTAATCACATCACAAGCCAGTAATTATGAAAATATTTTATATATTGATATTGTTCAAATTAATAAGTTAGTGTCGTTTTTTATTGAACTAGAGTGTGCTTGGATTGAGATATGTGTTGTATATATAAATGTACAAACTGCAACTGTTTTATATTTAACAGTTTAAATGTCTAACTGGTTTTGCTATATTATTAATTTAGTTATTGACATCTGCGGTGAAATAATTAGTCTGGCTCTACAGAACGGAAACAAACGATAATAGAGAAATAAGTTTGTTTTTAACATTGAACTTTTCACTTAAATTGTTCGTGTTTAATCAACGTGCATTCTGCTACAAAAAGAAAACTACTTTAGAATCTGAAATTCTTTGCTTTAGAAAAGTACTAATTTACTCCTTTGGTCGGCAGAAATGTTTTCAGATATAGTTCAGTTTTATGTTCTGTCAATCCAATGTTACTCAGCGCTTGATAAAACTTTTAATCTGATAACGTTTTTGCAAATGCATTAAAGAAAACAAAAATGCTTGATAAAATTATAATCTCTTATCTTATATTTGTGTACATGTATTATGTAGGATGCAGAAAAAAGTGTCGGACACGCACTGTCGCCACACAGGGATAATTCCGTCTCTCGGCTCGTCGGCTGAGCCTCGGAACAGCCTTGAACAGTAACTTGTTGTATCGGTCTGTACATGCAGTTGGTGTACTATTCTTTTTACAAAAGTAAGATTAGATAGTAGATTCGAGTAGTTTTGCGTATTATTGTTTTCTTTCAATAATAATAATAATAATAATAATAATAATAATAATAATAATAATAATGATAAACAAAACAAATTAAAAAAAAAAAAAAAACACACAATGAAAGCAAAGTTATTTTTTTATTTTCAAGCTCCATGAGCATATTCTAATTTTATTTTAGAATCCATTTTTCAATATTCACAAACCCAAAATTAATACATTACTTTATTCATTTTTTTGTTGCTTTGTGTATGCCGTTGATTTATGTTTTGTTTGTTTGTTTTTGTGTTTTACTTCTTCATTTCTAAAAGTATTTACATAAAACATCAAATATGTGTTACTTATTATCATCCATATCATGTGTGGCAAGATTGATAACTCAAGCATTAATATTTCATGAATTATTTTTCTATTGAACTTGGATATATTGTATAAAATTGATATTTTCTTTATTTTTTTTCAAAGGATTTAGGTTTCATATCAGCTCCAATATTAAAATATTAATATGAAAAGTTCGATATTGAATTATTTCACCGTTTAACTTAGAATTGTCTTTGTTATTTTCTGTAACTTCTTTATTTAATCAAGGATAAAAGTCAGACTTCACAAATGTGTTTGGTATCATTTAATTTCTTACCTTTAATAATTTGAAAATTGTTATATTTTAACAAGTATTACTTTTGTTATTACTAATAGTATATACTCTAGATTTAAGATAATTGTTTTTTGTCATAACTCACATCATGCACGACAGGCAATGCTCTAGCATCATTATTTCATGAGTAATTTCCTTTTTGGACGATTTTAAAGATTTTAAATTTGTGTCCTTTCCATTATAGCATGACATGTCGACATTGAATCATGCATATTATATGGTGTAAAAATATTGAATATTTGAGTTGTGCTGTCTTGGAAAAAATATAGAAATAAATAGAAACAGAAATGTATTTTATAGCATAATTGATTTTTCTCATAGTTTCGCTTTCTTTTCCTGCGTCCAGCATTAAATTGGTCGACCTTCGCTGTCTCCTCTGATAGCTGCATTCTTATCCCCTGTGAAAAATATTTAACAGCTGGTTTGTTTTTAAATGAATAATTATTTTATATCTAATTAATCTTATGAAAACTACAATCTATATATATATATAAATGGTGCGTATGTTAAATTAGCTAGTCTCCTCTTTTAAAACTTTACTCATCACAGTAAATGAGTTATTTATAATGATGGCCTAACTGAAGAGGATAAACTATGTTCCCAGGCGTCTTACTAAGGTTGAGTTAACCTTACGAGTGTTTTGTATATATGAAATAAAGAATTCAAACAAAGTTATAAGGGTTATAAAGTTTTATTCAATGTGTTGGTCCACAATAGAAGACGCACGCGTATAAGCGTCTTCCCCTTTTTTGAATTAGGTAGAACTTTTAAAATACAGCTTTTAAACGTAGTGTTGGATATAATCCCGCCCCATTCCTGCCCTATCTATGGGAACTGTTACCGATTTGCAGTAGGAAATATTATACTCACTTAGCCAAATATGCAAATTATTAATAAAGTGTAGTTTTCCCAATAATAAAATATGCTCGCCCATATGGTTTTATACTTTTGTTTGTTCACATCGACACAGTATAGGTCATATCGCGACGGTGGAAGAAGACCTCAGGTGCACTTCCGTGCATTATTTCAGGCACAAACGGGCACCTAAGTAGAACCACCGACGTTCCGTGAGCTAGCTGGATAGCTTCCTCAAATGAAAGAATCAAAAGTCCCTGTCGGGATTCGAACCCACAGCGGTGAGGGGCAAGTGGTTTGAAGTCAACGACCTTAACCACTGACTTCAAACCACTTGCCCCTGACCACTGTGGGTTCGAATCCCGACAGGGACTTTGGATTCATTCATGTGAGGAAGCTATACCGGCGGCGAGGATAAATAAACCCAAATACACGCACGCACGCACGCACACACACACACACAAACTAAAGACCTATATAAAAAACGTTAATTTAAGAAATTTGTTTTTTTAATTTTCCATATTTACGATTTTTTAAATTAAACATAACGTTGAAAGAATTAAGAAGACAAATTGTACACCGTAACGGTGTTTGCTGTTGTTGATAAGAATTGAATGAAATGCATCGTTTAATTCATACACGAATATATAAAAAAAAATTCTGCTGATTTTGTCTTCTTGTTAAAGATCCTGTATATTGTAATTAAGGATGTAATAACACTGAAGTGAAATTTCTAAAATTTATATTATTATTTTTCTGAAACAATTTCCATGTTAAATTTTGCATTATAAGCAGTCATCAAAATCTATGCATTCATTTCGTATTGAGAAATTCGAAATTTAGTATTTTTTTAGGAAATGAACGAATCTGAAAGTGTCACATTTCTTATGGAAGAAAGTTATTTATGTCGTTCAAACCATTCTTGCATTTTTTTTAAACATATTCAGTACAACTGCGGTTTTGATTGTTGCAAACAAAAGTCGGAAAAGGCAAAGATTGAAAGCATACATTGATCTTTTCATACTTCATGAAATTCATCTACTGTAGTGGATGCGTCTGGACACGTTTTTAAAAGGTTAACATTACGAACACTCTTTATATTATGATAATATGCTGAAGTTCAGCCACCCTGCAAATGCTATATTGATCATTAAGATGGTGACAAAAGAGATGATCTGATGATAACGATGATGATGTGGACGATATAAGAGGAGGGGTAAATGACAATAATTTTCAGCTAAAAAAAGTTGAATGATTATGATCCTTAATTATGATGATTATCATTATGATGATGATGACTGGGGTTATGATTTTAATTTTTACGCTGAAAATAATGATGATGCGGATGTTTTGAATCTGAATATGATGATAAGATGTTAACGATGATGATAAAGCCGTTTGTGGTGATATGGGGAGAAGGGAAATGACCCTTATTATATACAGAAAATTCCAAGTGAATGATAATAATGATAATTTGAGTTGTGATGGTGATGATAAGAAATATGATGATGATGGTGATGACAATAATGATTGGATTCAAATTTTCGGCGGTGATGAAGAAAACAACGATGCTTCTAAAGATTATGATTATCACACATTATGATTACGTTAATGTACCTGAGGGTTTAAATATTGCGATGATGATTGCAATGATGATAGAGGCATAATATTAATATTGGGTAGGAGGAGATGAGCAATGGTATAAAGTTCAATCAATTCTATGTAAATGATAAAAATGATATCTGGTGATTATGGTGGTGTTGGTAATGGTGGTGGTGGTGATGATGATGATAATGATGATGATTATGGTGCGTTGGTTGTTAATGTTTATGTTGACGATGATTTTGACTTCTTAAAGATGCTGTGTGTTGTAATTAAGGTTGTTTCCACACTTAAGTGAAATTTTATACATGTACATAATTATGATTCTGAAAAAACTTTCAATCATCAAAGAATATGTCAAATATGTCGTGCAAATATTTGTCCACATTATATGTAATCATTTTAATGAATGCATTCATTTTTTTTTTCTTTATAGAAAAAAAATTCCTTTATTAACATGGAATGTAAATTCGGTTTTATCTAAATAATGCTTTTTGTAACTAACTATATTAATAAATCTTCATTTAAGCATTAAATTTATGATATAAAAACATAAAAGATTGAGTTACAGGAACTTTAACTTGTTATCAGTATTGTATCCAATAATGCTCAGAAACAGCAACACGATAATACTATTACAAGTAAAAAAGCAGTAGTGCGTAAAATTTAGTTGTTGTTGTTTGTCGCATAGCTACTTAATTCTTTCTTTCGCCGTTTTCTTCAACGCAAAATATGATAAAAAAGTGGAAACGGAAGGTGATTAATTAAAACAGTGCTTTAGAGGGTACCGGTGCTTTAAACAAAATGAGAAAAACGGTTTATGTGACAGAAAAATCAAAAGCAAAGAAGAAAAGTAAGATGTTTTTTATGAATTTCAAATGCAATTTAACTATTTATTTGTCCAAAGATAATATAAAAATGAAAACATGTAAAGATATGGTGTTTACATAATCAAACCATTTGTGAATTGTGGTCTAGAGAACATAGCAAGACGGTGGGTGTAGCGAAGAATCGCAATTTTGTGTAACTTATTGTAAAGTTGCAGTAATTGAAGAATGGACAAAACTCCTTAGAAATAGAGAAACACAGAATCCCTAAAGAAAGCCCAACACGGCAAAATTGTAAAATGTTGCGGGCTCTGACATAGTTTAAAGATTTCTAATATTGTAGGATATTCTTTTCCTCTCGACATACCGTCTTTTACCAGATGAATGAACATTAACTAGATTGGTGTAAATCGCCTACTTGTTTTCAGTAGAGAGTAACCTGTGCATTTGCAAAGAGGGTACTGATATTAATATGCACCGTTTTTCTTAAGCGAGTAAAATGGGTTGAATTGAAGCGGCAATACGACGAAACAGGCAGCTATTTCAATTTACTTACATGGAAATACAGACAAATAATCTTTTTGAGTTGATCTTATTATTTTAATTTTTGTTGATCTCTAAAACCCTATAAGCATTCTTTTCCAACAAAACCAATAATGGCACGTGTGTCGGCAAGGACAGGCGGGCGGAAAATTACTATTATAATAACAAAATACATCTCGAACGTCTCTGGGCGTGTAAAAATGTAAACAGAAGTTCGACATTCTTATATTTAAATCATGCGATATTATTTTCTTATTCTTAAAGTGATAAAATGCATTTGAGTATGTAGTAAAGTGCAAAACTCTACAAACACAGTGTAAAAACTAACATTTGTATGTTTGTATAAAAACATAATAGATTCTTTAAGTGATCAACGAAGATCAAAGAAATAAGATCAACTCACAAAAAAATCATATAAATTATCCGTTGCAACCATTAGATGTTTTACAAAGTTACAAATTACAGTTTCAAAACATTTAGTTTGAAGGGATATAAAATGCGCTCCCTTTTCATACAAACGCCTATAATTTTAGACTTATTGGTGCTGGAAAAGGAGTAGAGGTGGTGAAACAATTTTCTACTAAAAGTAAAT